GGCGTTTAAAACGGCATGTGGGGAATAAATGGCGTTTAAAACGGCATTTGGGGAATAAATGGCGTTTAAAACTGCATGTGGACAACAAGTGGCGTTTAAAACGGCACGTGGACAATAAATGGCGTTTAAAGCGACATGTGGGCAATAAATGGCATTTAAAACGGCATGTGGGGAATAAATTGCGTTTAAAACGGCATGTGGACAACAAGTGGCGTTTAAAACGGCATGTGGACAACAAGTGGCGTTTAAAACGGCATGTGGACAATAAATGGTGTTTAAAACGGCATGTGGGGAATAAATGGTGTGTAAAGCGGCATGTGGGCAATAAATGGCGTTTAAAACGACATGTGGGGAATAAATGGCGTTTAAAACGGTATGTGGGGAATAAATGGCGTTTAAAATGGCATGTGGACAACAAGTGGCGTTTAAAATGGCATGTGGACAATAAATGGCGTGTAAAGCGGCATGTGGGCAATAAATGGCGTGTAAAGCGGCATGTGGGCAATAAATGGGAGTTTAAAACGGCATGTGGGGAATAAATGGCGTGTAAATCGGCATATGGGCAATAAATGGCGTTTAAAACGGCATGTGGGGAATAAATGACGTTTAAAACGGCATGTGGGGAATAAATGGCGTGTAAAACGACATGTGGGCAACAAGTGGCGTTTAAAACGGCATGTTGGGAATAAATGGTGTTTAAAATGGCATGTGGGCAATAAATGGCGTTTAAAACGGCATGTGGGGAATAAATGGTGTTGAAAACGGCATGTGGGGAATAAATGGCGTGTAAAACGGCATGTGGGCAACAAATACATTTGAAAGCAGCCTGTACAAAAGACAACAAGCAGCAGTAGTAAGGATAGTGGTCCAGTGGCTCAGATGGAAAAGCACAGGTCTGCAGTTCTGATGGTTGCTAGTTCAAAACCCCAGTGACTACCAATGACATTTGCTGATGTTGGGTCCTTGGGCATAGTACTTCATGGAGAATGTCAGAAGGGCCATAATTTGTATGAAAAATGTTTTTTGAATAATAATATATAAGTTAAATTTAAATTTGTTGGTCGACTTAATTTCATGTATCATATATGGTTTAAATTTTCAGAAGTTGTACATGTCTGCGCACTTGGCTTTTACCTGCCTTATCCCATGCGGAAGATTCCAGGTTCAATTCCAGCTCTGTTCATTTTTTTTTTTTTTTTTGGCAGATTAAATACAAATTTAATATGTATGAATATATATTTCATATATATGACTATGTGTTGTTGCAATAGTAATCTTGCATTAGGATTAATATGGCATCATTAGGGTAAAACTAAATGATGTGTAAAACACTCAAGACACAATTTTACTTGAAACCACCTGGTGAGTGGTATAGCTGGTGTGTGTCCGCACATCATGCAAGAGTTCGCAGATTCAAATCCAGCCAAGATCAAAAACTTTTTTATGAGGGTTATATCTTTATACATATATATATCTATAAATATAAAGAGTTATGGATTGAAAAATACAAGCAGAAAGTTGTGTAATTGGTTAAAATCTTCATTTCTGTTCTTGGACTGTTTAAGCTGTGTCTTATACTTTACATTCTTTTATAAAAAAAAATATATGTATTAATGCTCTTTCTTATTGTCCCATGTTTATGATGTGGTTTTATAAAAGAAGAGAGATAAATAAAATGTTTTTTTGTTTTGTTATATATATATATAACAAAACAAAACAAAAATTATTTCTCTCTCTCTCTCTCTCTCTCTCTCTCTCTCTCTCATCTCTCTCTCTCTCTCTCCTCTCTCTCTCTCTCTCTCTCTCCTCTCTCTCTCTCTCTCTCTCTCTCTCTCTCTCTCTCTCTCTCTCTCTATATATATATATCATACATATTAAATTTGTATTTAATCTGACAACAACAAAAAATGAACAGACCTGGATTTGAAGCGGGAATCTTCCACATTAGAGACAGTTATAAACCGAATGCGCCACAGGCATGTACACTTCTGAGAAATTTAAACCATATATGATACATGAAATTAAGTCTTTCAACAAATTCATGCAATAACATTCAGACAACTTATGGCACTTCTGACATTCTCCATGAAGTGTTATGCCCAAGGACCCAACATCAGAAAATGTCATTAGTAGTCACTGGGGGATTGAACTAGCAACCATCAAAACCGCAGACCTGTGCTTTTCCATCTGAGCCACTGGACCACTATCTCCACTAATGCTGCTTGTTGTCTTTTGTACAGGCTGCTCTCAAATGTATTTATTCCCCACATGCCGTTTTAAACACCATTTATTCCCCACATGCCGTTTTAAACACCACTTATTTTACAAGTGCCGTTTTAAACGCCATTTATTTCCCACATGCCGTTTTAACGCCATTTATTGCCCACATGCCGCTTTACACGCCATTTATTCCCCACATGCCGTTTTAAACGCCATTTATTCCCCACATGCCATTTTAAACACCATTTATTGCCCACATGCCGCTTTACACGCCATTTATTCCCCACATGCCGCTTTACACACGCCATTTATTCCCCACATGCCGTTTCAAACGCCATTTATTGTCCACATGCCGTTTTAAACGCCACTTGTTGTCCGCATGCCGTTTTACACGCCATTTATTGTCCACATGCCGTTTTAAACGCCATTTGTTGTGTACATGCCACTGATCAGCTGTGGCAGGTGCCGGTGCCACAAAAGGAGCTTGCCCTTACGGCAATGCTGAGGGGTCGTATTTTTTGACCAGTCTAGTTTAGCCCCTCTGGACTTTTGAATGCACTCGAAAAATTAAATTAGAGGACTCCCAGCAACTCTGTGAAGTCCTCCCTCTGTCCCTGGCTCAGACTGACTTACAATGTCGTTCAAAACAGTTTTATGAAAATTTGTAGATGTTGTTTTTGCTCCTGGTAAGATCTGAGAGTCTGGTCTGGGTCCGGTCTAGTCCGGTCTCATCTCTTGTCCATGGAGATAAAGGGAGACTCCCTCTCTGACCTCATAATATAAAAACACTTTGATATAAAACTATAACATTTCATTAAAAGTAGAAAATCCTTCTATATACCTTTTAATGGAAAAAGAAACAAAAAGGTGGACATCATTCAGAACTAAGGAGGAGAAATGGATGAATACTCTAAAATGAGTGCATGCACAGCATGGCCTTGGCTGACAAAGTCACTACTACAAAGACAGAGGCAATTTCATAAGGTAAAGCTGCACAAAGGTCAAGAAGGAGGACCAGGACGCCGCCCTGAAGAGCTCCTTACCTGAAGTGCCACAGAAGAAGTTGACTGAGCCTTGCGAGCCAAACGGATAGCGAGGCAAAGTCATTGGGCCAGAGCGCCACGTTGATTCCTGGTGCCAAACCCCACAATCAACTGATCTGACCGCCTTAGGCCAGACGTGCGGTCCAAATAGCATCTCACAGCCCTTACCTGTCAGAGACTATACTGCTGCTCTTCCTTCGCCAAAGTAAGCGGGGGAGGGAAAAAACAGTCTTACGCTGATCACCCTGGATCTGAAAGATGACGTGAAGACCTTGGGCTGGAAAGCTGGGTTAGGCCATAACTTCAACATGCCCTGGATGGATGCGCAGAGCGGGCACACAAATCACTAGAGCTCTTGGACAAGGCCAAAGCCAA